ACACGTAGGGATACAGAGTTATTGAAAATGCAGCACTAATTAAAACCTCATATAGGCTCCCCAGGATGGGGAGAGGATGAAAACAAGTTATTTCATTATTTCCCGGATTTGCCATCTTTGTTACAAAACCAAACAAACCCTTTCTAAACAAAGCCCATCTCAATCGCTGGGGAGACTTAATGAGGCTTTTAGAGATGCAAGAGTAACAAACACATTGCGAGGTGCCGATTCCCCTCTCCTGGTATCAGAGAGGCCTCTAGAAGTCACTTTCCAGCTGTAAAGCAAAGGGAGTGTTGCAGTAGAGCCACAGACTGGACCAGAACCATCGCTGGGTTCCAGGGCGCGGTTTGTTTGAAACTGAAGTCGTTAAAGATTCTTGGTCTTCCAGGCTTTTATGGTTTAATTGTTCAATCCCACACAGCACACCAAGTGCTGACATGGTTTGTGAGGAGGGGGAGAGCTGCTGAGACCCTGGCTGCTCCCAGCCGTGGCAGTCAGAGCATCCTCCAGGGAAAGGAGAGTTCTTTGAGCTTTGCTTTTGCAACCCTTTTCCTCCAAATTTGATTTGCAACAGAATGTCTCCCAGCCCAGAGCACCGAGTGCCACGGCCAGGCCTTCCTTGGGCACCTCCAGGGATGTGACTCCCCCACCACAGCCCCTGCCAAGGCCTGACCACCCTTTCCAGGGAGAAATTCCTCCTAGTGCTGGGAGGAATTTTTTTTCTCACACCCCATCCGCCCAGAGCTTCCTGCTCTGCACATTTCTCACCCAAACCTGCTCTCCTGACTTCGAAACACCTCAAAATAACTTAACTCACTCATTTTTTTGCCGTGATTAAAAACAATTCTCTTTGAGAGAAAACAAACATTGCTTTAAAAAAAATAATAATTTGACCTCCTTTAGAAAAAACTCTGACTTGGAGATTTTAATTGCAGGGAATCTGTTCGGTTTTGCTATTTTTACCTGTATTGGAAAAGTATCAAAGCTCTTTTTTTTTTTTTAGGAGAGGAAATTATACTTTAAAATGCACAATTGTGAGAAAGTGACTCCCCAACGTCTTTGAGTTGGTGCTTTGTTTCTCCCCCTCAGAAGCATCTCCTGCCTTCCCTGATGAGCCTGCTCTTGTTTTTTAGGCTGGTTTGCTTCAGGATGCTTTTGATCCTGGCTTCATTAAAACCTCATCCTGCTGCTTCCCACCAGCCCTAACGGTCTGTGAAATTATTTCCCTTTCTCTGAGGAAGTTGTTAACTCTGGGAGCACCTGCAGCGTGGGGGAGCTCAGAGCACTGTCAGAAACGCCCAGGTTTAGCCAAGCCAGCCTTTTCTCCACAAGCAGAGATTAATTCCTCAGTGTTATCCCAGCAATCTTCCCCGAGGGAGGGCTGAGAACGGGCTGAGGGTGTTGCTGGTTCTCCCTTCTGCAGGTACAGGGAGATAATTGGACAAAAGACTCAGAAACTGCGG